TGACTCAACTATTTTCTCTAATTAAATTGAAGAAGAGATTTATGACTTTAAAATAATCTTAACGATTCCAAGTTATCTGATTACTGCAGTACGTGAAACATGTAGCAGATATTCAGCTCGTCCTTAAATTTACTTTCCATATTGCAGCAGGTTAGGTTTGCAGGTTCTGTGAGGAGCCGAGTTGGACAGCTGTTGCATCCTCTTTGAAGAATTTCCTAACGAATTCCACACTTTAAAACTATAAATGCAAATTTACAAGCGCTTTCCTGAATATGGAAATATGTTCATGAATCTAATCTAAGAAATCTTCCCTGCAGAATATGTAAGCTTTGCTATTTTCCTTCATATGCAAAAAATGAACTTTACAAAAAACACGGAAAAAACCCCACCAGAATCAGTTTTCATATTCTCAGTGTGGAAAAGGACATTTTGTCACTGCATGGGAAGCTCAACACCGAGATGATTTATTATAAGAACCGAGTGCTGGTCAGTGACGTGCGGTGAGGTTTGTGACAGGCGAGGCAATGACTCGTCTGGAATCGGATGCTCACATATATGAACCTAAATTAGAAGCTTATATTTAGCCTTTTTTTGTTCATTTAAAAAGGCTAATAATTACGCTTTAATCAGCTCCATACTGTTAAACAGTGATGGCAATAATAATAATAATGTAAGGTCAAACTATTTATTATATTTTTGTGGGGGTGGGAGTCCTCTCTTTTAAAAAAAATAAAAAAAATAAAACCAACATGTATTATTTTACCTTTATTTTGAGATGAAGTTCATGCACATATCTTCCGTGAACATCTCCCTTACTCTGTAAAACTCGTCACGGTTTTCCTTCATTTTTAAGTCTGGCTGCTTCAATGGAGATAATTGCAGAGGGGGGAGTCTCTTATATTTTCTGTTTCTACTGAAAAGCAAATTTAGAAAAATCTTTTTATAATTCGTTTAGACAAAATGGAAGATCGTATCTCAAAACTAAACGAGTGTACCGTTTGCTTCACCCCTGCTGCACCTCTGTGTAACAGAAGAACGCAAAGACTGCACCTGCTTCATTGTCCCTATGGGGCAACACTGCCCCCCATCAGTGAGGAACGGTACTTTCTGCCTCACCCTGTGTATTTTCACTGTGCATTTATGACTGATTAGAAAAAGAAATGTCACACACATTCATCCAATATATAAGACAGACTGTAGAGCATCAACATGTGTAGCACATGTGTAATCAAACATGTATATTGGCGATATAAAGAGAGGCAGCAATGGGCATGCACCAACCACCTACTACATATATTGTATATGACACAGCGCCCCCAGAGGTGAACCAGAGCACTACACTGCCTCGCCTCGCAATGTTTGAACAGGTAATGTGTAAATTCTGCGATTTTGACCATTGAAGTGTTGAAATAATTCAGAAAACAGTTTTATAAAACACTTTTATAGAACAGTCAAGTGGTGGAATGTATTTTCTCTTGTCTTTTTTAGTATTTATTTGTCGTGGTGAGGCACTGCCTCCCCTGACTGCACGTCACTGGTACTGGTTCATCCTAAAGGTCATAAAAATGATATTCAAATTAGATTAATTGGTTCTGTGACTGTATTAGAATTTTTTGGGTTGTCAATACGTTTACTGATCACGTCACATGTGTCTGAACTCTGAAGTAAAAATGCCAAACACCCCCCCCCCCCAAAAAAAAGATTTCTCACATCACTTTTTGCAGCAAGATTGCATGCAATCCTAAATGTTGGTTCTCATCTAAGCTGAAATGTTGAGCATGAATTTTCTCCTCCCCTCTGTTTCCAGTTTTTCATCCATGAACAGTGCAGAAGGCACTGCAGCTTGTTTCCTGAATGCAAAGCAGAGCAGGTTTGTTTTTCCACTGAAACGTTCTCACAACCAGCTTGTTCACTACTTTCTGCACGTCTCTCGAAATAACTTCTACATTATTTCTTCTCAGGAGGAAAATAAGAAGCCAAATATTACTTTTTCTTTGGTTTCAAAACCAAGAAAACACACGAGTTAACATTTTTCTGGTCAAGTGATGGAGGAAAAACTATTATTTGCTGATAAATTTTGCTATTGATTTTCATGTACATTAAATCTGGAGTCATAAATCACTAAATAATACATCCTGTTCAGGTGTAGAGAGGCCTAACCTTTACTCCTCTGTCAGAAGCTTTCCTGATCCAGACACATGCTGCATAATAATCTGTCCTCACTGGACTTTGCAGTAACTCCAAACCATTCTATTCCTCTCTGATCACTGACTGCCACTCTGTGGTCATAAATATTTAACACTTTACTTTTTATTTTACTGTCGGTCTTTTTGTCACTTTACAAACCGTAAAATATGAAATTAATCAAACATGTGTAATATAAGTTAAGTATTAGCATTTTTCTTGGGAACGTCTCCAACTGTAGTTTTGATGAGGTTTTAGAAGTTGTGCAAAATGCAAATTAAAACTGAATGCAATCATTTGCAAATTGGATACAAACCTTATTTATTTAGAGGAGTAATCAACATATCAAATGTTTAAACTAAGAACTTGTACAACTTTTATTAAACACATAGACAGACAATTAATTAAATAAATAAATAAAAGGTACATTTCCAACAATTTCCAGTCAGGTCATCTGGACATTTTTTTTTTTTTTTTTGGTGCTGAAACATTTCACCTTCTATCCAGAAGGCTTCATCAGTCAAGGAAACACACACAACAACAAAAAACTGATTCTTCCCCCAACATCTTACTCCAAAGTGGAACAAACCAGTTATGTTGGTGCTAAGATGGTCTCTTTGGCACGCCCCCTCCTCTGGTGCCGGCCCTCTTCCTCGTCAACAGTCATGTCAAACTGGTTCAAAACCAACAAAGTCCATGTGCAAAAAAAAAAAAAAAACTGTCCAGATAACCTGACTGAAAATTGTTGGATTGTATACCTGGATTATTGAGCATGGACTTTGTTGGAAAAGGTACGTTTGAATATTTATTGTCAGCAACAACACATTGGCATCAACGGCCGTGTTTATCACGTCTGTTTTTCTTTTAGCAGTTTGTAAAAAGGAACTGAGAACAGCTGCTGGTGGTTTCAGAGGGAATCTTGACTCGTGTAGGATTCTAGCTGTTCAACCGACCTGCGTCTTCTTTGCTGATATACATCTTTTTGTTTATTTGTTTCAAGATGTGCCAAAGGTTTTCAACTGGTAAGAAGTCTAAACAGGTCTCGCTTGTAAATTAGTATTTGAGGCTCAATGTGATTTTAAATGAATAAATAAAAAAAAAAGAGAATGTATAAATAACGGTTGAATAAAAGTCTGGACTGCAGACAAGCCAGACTGAGCCACACTGTGGATGCAGGCAGCAGTTTAGTATTTTGCTGAAACCTCCCTGATAAAGACTCGATGGGAAGATTCAATATGTTGTTCTAAAACACGCATACACTTTTCTGCAGTGATGGAGCTTTTTCAGCTGTATGTAAGCTCCCTGTGACCAAAGCAGTAATGCACCCCCATACTATCAGAGAGGCAGACTTTTAAAATGCAGCGCAGCCTGAAAACAAGCCGGATGGTCCCTCTCCTCTTCAGTGCTGTGGACGTGGCATCCATCCATTATTTTTACCCATGTTTTCCATTTCGGGTCGTGGGGGTCACTGGTTCCCATGTCCAGCAGTCACTGCGAGAGGCGGGGGACACCCTGGACAGGCCTCCAGTCCATCACAGGGACACAGAGAAAACTATTCACACTCTCACTCACACCTAGGGATAATTTAGAGTTACCAATCAACCTAACATGCATGTGTTCACATTCATTCACCCAGAAAGGTCCCGGACCTGGATTTGAACCAGTGACCTTATGGCTGAGAGGCGGCAGCTCTACCAACTGTGCCACAGGGCCACGTGGCATTCATAGTTTCCAAAAATAATTTCAAATTTACATTAGTCTGACCAGATTTCCACTTTTCCTCAGGGATTTTTTTAAATGGGGGCAACACAGTGGATTAGTTGGTAGAGCTGTTGCCTCTCAGCGAGAAGGTCGCCGGATCAATTCCCGGCCTAGGGCCTTTATGGGTAGAGTCTGCATGTTCTCTCCGTGCATGCGTGGGTTTTCTCCAGTACTCTGGTTTCCTCCCACAGACCAAAAACCTCCATGTTGGACTGATTGGTAACTCTAAACTGTCCCTAGTTGTGAGTGAGAGAGTGAATGGTTGTTTGTCTCGTTTGTCTCTATGTGTCCCTGTGATGGACTGGAGACCGGTCCAGGGTGTCCCCCGCCTCTCACACAGTGACTGCTGGACGTGGGCACAAATGACCACCGTGACCCGAAAAGAAAAAAGTGAGTAAAGATGATGAATGGATGGATTTTGAATGGTCTCTGGCCCGGTGAAGATATTTCTGGATGGTGTTCACACGAGGCTTCTTCTTTGCTGATGGTGATTTAACTTCATCTGTGGATGGATCAGAAAACTGTTTACAGACAATCATCTGAAGTGTTTTTGAGCCTGCGCAGTGATGTCCATCACAGAAAAACAGAGACCTTTCTGTCAGAGCTGGAGATCACAGATTTCCAACATTGACTTCTCCAGGTCCTTTGCACACGGCGATTTATTTCTTTTATCCAACGTCTTATCCAACGATTTAAAATATGAGATTGTGATCTAAAGTGGGAAAAACGTGATTCCACATCAAAGCATTCCATTTACATGAACAAGTGGCTTTGAGTTCTTAAAAAAAAGAAGTTGTATTAAAGAAAAAATATTAACTCCACCACTAGTCCTCATATCAACTTTCAATCATCATCGTCACAACAAAAACATGAAACTGACAAATCTCCTCTTGGTTGTCTTGTTTTAAATAAAAGTCCATTTATGACAGTTTGATGGACATGGCATCAAGCTTTGAATTTTGCAATGAGACTGTTTTTTTTTTTTTTAACACAGCAGCTCATTTTACTCGTCAGTCAGAAGCAACTTCACGTACATTTTCAAACAACATTGTCTCCAAAACACTGAAAGCAATGCAATAATAAAATGAACGACGATCTTGATTTTTATTTTTACTTAAATTAAAATTGTTTTTATGGCGAATCTCCTTTTTTTATGCTTTATCAGGCGGCTGGCATGAACAAATGTACAGAAATGTTGGAGACATTTAATATAGAAATGGTTTGATAGTTAAATATATTTATCCCTGTCATTAATGGTAAACATCCTGAGCCGGTGAAACGGGCAGCACGCTGCGGTTGTAGGGAAGCCCATAGACGGGACTCGTCTCCCGTTGGTGCAGGCTCTCCACCTTGCCAATCTGGCGCAGATAGAAAAGCAGGGTGAGCTTTCGGGTCATGGTCCTGAGAGCCAAGAAAGAAGCCAGGATCTGGGCAAGCAGCAGAGCGAGGTAGATGGAGTGCACGGCTCTCTCCAGGGGCAGGATGATGATTCCTTCATCAGTCACGAAGAAGAGCAGCACCGGCAGCTGGAACATGAAAGACAGGAGCCAGAAGGCTGCCAGCTCTGGCACCTGATGACAGGAAGGCAAGGAGGGAGAATTTGATCTGGTGTGTTTGGGCGATGCAGAGAGAGCAGTGAGCTGTCAGTCACTTCGGCTGCTTTCACATGAAAGCACATAAACAGCTGCATGTCAGGGTACGCATTAATTGATTAGACGGTTTTAATGTAGTGAAGAAGTCGTTGAGAACCGATTGTTACCTTCTCCTTCAGGTTGCCGATGTAGCCCAGATGAAGCCGGATCACTTCGATGATCGTTATCAGGACCAGTCCGGTGATCAGCAGAGCCTGGTAGTACCCGGGCAGGTAGTAGTACTACGGAACAAGCAGAGCTGGAATAAGTGTACTTGTAAAAATGTATTGGTCATTTTTAGTCACTTTGTTTGATTCTACATGATTTAATCTATTAGTTCTACAATTAACAATTTAAATCATTCACCTAATTTATTTGTATGTATTTTTTTTATGTATTTTAACAACATTCTGACAGGAATAACCAAGTAGATTGTCCATTTTGTTGCTTTAGCCCCACTTATTCCCCCTATTCATTGGCTAAATGTATGGTTTAAAGCAGTGGTTCTCAAACTGGGGTCCCCGGACCCCTGGGGGTCCACGATCCAGTGCTTTGGGGTCCACAAAAAATTTATTTTTTCTTTTTTTTTTACAAGCGTGTAGATGTTTAACAACCCATTAAAATACACCAAAAATGCAGGAAATCATGTCTACTTAATTCAACATTTTCTGGAGGAGGACCCCCAACCCAACCCCCAGCCCACCCATTATTTGTGTTCCAGCATCGATCGGTTTACAAATTAAGTCCCGTTACTTGGTATAACTACTGCTGTTATGATGCCTTTCAGTTTTATGTAAAGAGTTTTCTGTATTTTCCAGCGTATAAGTCGCGTTTATTATGTGTCACCTCTGACCCCTGGGAAACGTGGGCCGGTGTCGTGCCATAAATCGAATGGTGGGAGCACACACAGAAGGACTCGTTGGAATTCTTCGAAATTTAACAAGATTAACACTTAAAAACAATTATTTGTTTGCTCAATATTATAGCAAAGGTGTGTCTCAGTTTAACTTTTCCTTAATAAATGCACTTTAATGGTCAATGTTTGGCGGCGGGGCTAGTGGTACAGGAACAACATACGCCTACTGGTAGTTGACAAAAGCCTATAGGGTCCTCTCGTGCCTCCAGTAGCTGCAAATGGTAATGTTTACTCTGGTTCATGTCAGTACGAATGAACATTTAAAGCGTCAGACAAAAATTGTGTTATGAATATGAAAAAAAACTTATATAATTCACATATAAGGCACAAGACTGGCAAATCTATGCAAAATACTGCGACTTATACGCCGGAAAATACGGTAATTTGAAGTGGCAAAAGATTTATGTTCATTACGTAAAGTTTTTTTTTTTAATGTTTTTTTGATACTGTTAATTTTCTCAAAAGTAATTTTTGGAAGTTAAAGTTTTAAATTGTTAATTAAGTGTGTCTTGAATTAAAAATAGCCTACCCCATGTTTAAAAGTATAAAAATTGTATTAACACTATTAAAGAACAGGTCTTAAGTATTTGTTACACACATATTTCCATTTCATTAAACAGACTAATTGAAGAAAATTATTTAATAAACATGAGAGTTATGAGGGGGTTCCTGAAACTTTTTCTCCCCTGTAAGTTGTCCCTGAACTCAAAAAGTTTTAAACACCCTGCAAGGATGGTCATTGAACATACCACTAGATGGCGCCAAAATATCAGCTTTAAAGTTTAACTTTTTACAAGTTTAATGGTTTGTTCCACCTTTTCACAGTAAATCTTTTATGATTTCACCTATTTAATCTCTTGCATGTTGATTTACTGTGATGGGGGATTTGAAATGTTCTCATAAATACATATAGTGGATTTTTATTTCCTTTTAAAAATGATTTCTCCGACTTGTTTTGAATTAATGTCTGCCAGAGTCATTTCCCCAGGACTTACCTTTACTTCCAGCATGAACACAGCAGAAAACCACCAGCAGGGAAAGTAAAACACGTTGAAGTAAAGCAACATCTGAAGGGGAAGGTGAGAAACCAACTCGTCGACCACTGAAAGACAAATAAACAGACAGTTGATGAGTCCTTCGATGGTCAAATTGTGTGCCAAAATATCATATAGAATTTAAAAAAAAAAATTAAATAGATGGGCAGCTTTTGAAAACATAAACCCTAATTTACAAGAAACCAAGTTTGTCCTGAGTCAATCACTGCATTAAACCTGTAGTAAATAACAAAAAGGCTCATTTGGGGTCAGAGTTCGTAAAGTTTACACTTGACCGCAGCTTCCAAAATGTCAGCAGTAATTTAAAATGTCCAACCAAAGTTTGCGTTTCAGTAATGAACAAACAAAAGACCATCTCGTCAACTGGAAGAAATATATCTCAAAAGATTGTATTTTTTATCTTGTTCAGGTGCTGGAGACTGAGCAGGTTGCAGGGCCATACACAGAAACACACAATCTAATGTGTGTTGGGCTAAATTGAGCTCAACCAATGCCAATGTCAACCAGAACCCCAGCTAACCTACCATGCATGATTTAGAGCACTTGGAGCAAACCCTTCAGGCGAATGGAAAACCTCTCCTCCAAACAGCAAATCCAAACCAGGATCTTCCTGTGATGCAACAATCCTCAGACTTTGTCATCCGAGAGGAAGAGGCTGGAAGGTTTATTTCATTTCCCTATTGTAAATCTTTTTATCATATTTAAATGGATTTTCAGCAAATTCTTGTTGCTCTAAGTTGCTCGAATATGAACAGGAGTCGGTGTGCTGACTGTAAGAGAGCCTGAAACCCAAATTTAAAGGATTAACACAATATTTGTGCAGAAACGTTCATGTTTTGGTAGATTGTGTCATCTCTTATAGCACCATTGATAAAATTGGTTTGCCCATCAACGTAATGTTGTTCATTAAAGGAGTTTTTTTTTTATTCATTTGACAAGATGATTTATACGCAAAAACATATTCATTTATTAGAATAAATTATAAAAAGTAAATGAGTTGCATCCTGCCAACATTTTCAGGATATTCAATTAAACCGAGTAGGTTTTATTTACAAATCAATGTGACCCAAAACGCATGCACGTTGAATTCTCTCAGGTACTCACGATGGATGGAGCCAACAAACAATTAGCAACATTTATTGGCTTATACTTTACGTCTATTTTAAATTATCTATTATTCTTTTAATTTCTTTCATTAATTTATTCATTTAAATTAGGACAATGCATGCATGTCAACAGTAAGCATCAATGTAAATATGCCGGAGTTAGCACAACAGCTAATTTTCATCCATTGTCCTAAGAACAAGAAACATCCCACAAAACAAAGAGCAGAGAATAAGACAAATATCACCTATAACACAAACCACAGCATGGAATGACAATAAAGATATGACACCATAACAAAATAGACAACGTAATCTACACACGAGTGCACCTCTGGTTAGTCTTCAGCCAGTGTTTCAAAGAGTTGTTAAAGCTGGAGTTATGCTGCTTGTGTTTATGGAATAATTGCACATTTTCTGGCTGACTTTATGAGGCGCTGATGAAAAAGCGCAGGAGTTGCATGAGCGCACCGACCTGAGGCGTCCTCCTGCTCCCTGCTGAAGTCACTGTTTGCCGTCTTGTTGGTTGTGAACACTGAGCCTCCCATGTAGGCCAGGCTCATCTGCAGGTTCTCTGGGCCCGGCGAGTAAAACACAGGCATTGTGGCTAAAACTGGGGCTCATGACAAGGAGTCAGGACGTATATTAGTCGGAGCAAACAGGACAAAACAGAAACGGCTGCAAATCCCTGTTGTCCTCGGTCCTAATGACGCTCGGTTGCAGGCGGACAGACGTCCTAATGACAGACGCTGCGGCTAATCAGATTATTGTGGCGGAGGCGGGTGAGGGATTAGGCACGAACAGGGTGGATGATGATGTCTTGTACTGCTTTGACAATGAAATTGTTATTGACGCACTGAAAAGTTCACAATTTGTTTTAATACTTTGTACTTTGTGTTGTTTTAAAACCAACGACGATGAGGAATAAATAGTCACAAAATGAAATGATTCACACAACTTTTGATCGTTTTTCTTTTATTCATAGGATGAGAATAAAGAGCTGCGACGTGCACCGTGCACGCTGCACCGGGCCAGCGAGCCCTCAGAGTGGGGCCTGGCCTGAGGCCTTGGAGCCCCACTCGCCATCAAAGCGGCCGGGGTGCACATGCAGGGTTTTGACCACAAGGGGTCGTCACAGCTCGTCCCTGGGGGCGTGCAGGGGGAAATTCTGGAACTCCTCTGGTACCTCTTCCCCTTTCTGGGACCTCTTGTAGAAACCCAGTGAGTCTAACAGGCTGCTGATCTCGTCTGCCTTCATTTTCTTCACAGGGACGGTCTGAAGTTTCAGGAAACACACAAACACACGAGAACGTGTCGAGATCTGAATATCTGCACAGGAAGTCTGCTTCTCTGAGAACACACACCGACTGTCTGCAACGGTTTGTCTTGTTCTGTTTGAGTTCAAATGGCCTTAGACCATCAGCGTTATAATAAATACAATAAACTTATAAATGTAACAGCTGATGAGTTGACAAGTTTTTGTAGATTTAGATCAACACTATGAAAAAGTATTACTGAGTTGAAGTGAACACTTTTATTGCCCCCATGCAGTAAAAACAAGAAGCTTTTTACCCCAGCAAATATTAAATAAGTGTTTTCAAGGCAAACGGATGAAATTTGATTCAACATTCATGCCCGTGGGGCGGCACGGTGGTGCAGTTGGTAGAGATGCCACCTCTCAGTGAGCAGGTCGCCAGAACAAGTCCACGCCGGGGGCCTTTCTGGGTGGAGTTTACATGCTCTCTTCGTGTATGCGTGGGGTTTCGCCTCGTTCTCCGGTTTCCTCCCACAGACCAAAAACATGCACGTTAGGCTGATTGGTAACTCCAGATTGTCCCTAGGTGTGAGTGAGAGCGTGAATGTTTGTCTTCTCTGTCTCTGTGTCCCTGTGATGGACTGGAGACCTGTCCAGGGTGTCCCCCTCCCCTCGCACAGTGACTGCTGGGTATGGGCACCACTGACCCCCACGACCCAAAAACGTAGAAGCTAATGGATGGATTCATATCTGTGCACAAATATTTAACATAATCATAGCATGTGTCATATAAATCTAAAATATAAATAAATCAAAAATAATAAAATATATCATATAAATAATAAAATAATAATAATAAATAAATAATAAAAATATTAACATATATAAAAAAATCTATGCCTATTTTATGATTGTCCATTGTTGTCATCACTCTTTGTTGAAATCATGTCTCTTTTGTAACTGAGTCCTCGAGGCTCAACGGGATTAACCCGTCTAAATAAAGGTTGAATGAAGGATTAGCTGCATTTTAAATAGTAGATTAATAGTAGCTATGATGCCGTTTTTTTTTTATTACTTATTATAACCAACTTCATTGTGCAAAAGAGACCAGGGCTTTTTAATAACCTTACAATTATTAATTATCAAGATGGAGAAAAAGTTTATTTTGTGGAATGGTAAATAACTATAACTTTGTTTTTAGATACATTTTAAAAGGTCACTGTTTGTGAATGAGACAGAACATGTCTTAGTTATATTGCACCTTTATTTCACCTATACGATATATTGAGCAAATTACACGGATCTCCGTTCACAATTAGTTGTATTTTCAAAGTATTTTGCAGAAAAGCCTTGAAGACACTCGTTGCATGTATGAAACCAAAAACAAAGATTCTTCCTCCACGATGTTTGAAAGACGTTACTCCAGTATTTTTTCAGATATGTTGATATGAAATACTGGTACACGCTCAATGTAAACAAAGCACTTTTACAGGCATACTTTATTCAACAAATCTATGTACAAATATATCAAAACTGACAGACTTCTCAATCCCATATGGGTCTTTTTTACGGCGTTCCCCGTTGTTCCAGTGCCCTTGGCTGTTTCCGTAGGTAAACAAACGCAGCTGGCAGTTTGGCAGCTGCTCTCAAACTTTACTTACTTTATTTTTAATTTGTGGGCACGTTAACCATCAATATGAGCAAAACAGATTTTGTTTCTTGCTTCTTTTTTTTGTTTTGATACAAGTCTTTATGACTTTGCAGCGAGCATCTTCATTTACTACTGTTTAATTTGTTTAAAATAGTCTTTTATTTTTTAAGTCTATGAGCTAAAGTGTTTCTAATCTACACATTGGTAAACCATTTCTATGGGTGCGCTGATAAAATGTTACCAAAAAAAGCTCTTTACTTAAAATCTCTTATGTCCGACATGATTCATTTCACTTCTTGTTGAAATAAATTGATGTTTGTGTTCATATCTGGGGCGGGATTGAGACGCAGCCGTCTCAAAACATTGGACGTCTTTTAGCTTTGACATTCTGTAAGTCTCCAGGTAGCCCTGCTGCACGGCGGCTGGAGCGCACTCACCTTTACAACCTCGTCCTTTTCATTGTAGAACACCAGACGGGGATTCTTCTCCTCGGATGAATCATACTCCAAGTTGTGGCTGTGCGCTGATCAAGGGAAACGACAGACTCACTTCTTATGAGAACCAGAGCTTGAGAGCGACACTGGACGTGTTAAACACCTTCAAACGTCATTTTGTTCAATGATTTGTGTGAACATTTGTGGGTTTTTTGTGTGGATGGGTCTCGGAAACAAGACTGAATAACACGAGCTCAAGGATACTATAAAGCCCATCGCTCCATGAGAAAATGATGAAGCTCTGGCATTTTCTTTATGCCTCATCCAACCACACTGGGAGCCTGCAAGAAACATATGGTTGTTAAAACAGATTTGTCTACGAGCTGTTAGTTTGATCACAGGCGTCAAAAAATCAGAATGTAAACTGACTTGGCGTGGCTAACTCTTTGTGCCTTCAAGATACTATTACCGTGTCCTCTGTCTCTTTGTCTTATGTCTAATTTCGAGACCGCCTCTGCAGATATAGCACAATGTCCTCTGGACATGATGAGCGACATTTTGAAGTTCTCCACGTTTGTCACTTTTTGTCTGTACTCACCAGCAGCTTGCCTCGAGCGATGACTGGCTTTTCTTCGATGGCTCCGTCTTCAGCTTCTAATGCTCCAGCAGTGAGTATAAAAGCGAGCACCAGGAAGGCCCACATTTTAAGGATGAACTTATAGGTTGAAGCTCTTTTGACAAGGCTACAACCAGCAATGCATAACTTTGATCTACTCTGTCAGGTTTTGAGGATGGAGAAGTCCATGGTGCTTTCACACAGGGGAGTTTCACCCACCTGAGGTGAACAGTTCATCTTGTTCTTGTTAATTTTGTCATGAATTCTTTATAAAAGCGGAACAAAATCCCTGTTTCTTCCTCTGCTTGGTTTACATGTGTGGTTATATAACTATAGTTTTCGTTATAAGGTTGTTTTTGATTTTTCAAAGACCCCTGGTTTTACAGTTCTTGGTCCCCTCCACGTCAGATGTCATTGGGACTCCACAGAACTCACAGAACATCTGCCCTCTTATCACTTTTTCCCATGCTGAGCGTTTTCAAGTGGACGTGGCCTCTGAGATCCAGACAGATGCTCTCATCTGCTAACAACCAAAACTCACATCAGGCTCATTGGAATTGTAAAAATCCAAATGTATCCACTTTTATCTCACAATGAAATAAAGGGCGTGTTTGTTTTGTGAGCTAAAACAAAATCCCTTTGAAATTCAGGCCAGTTTCCACAGCAGTTACACACGTTTCTGCTTCATATTTTTATACCATGTTGAATTCTCCCAATAAAGCAATAGTAATATTTTTACAGCCAATTATGCATCGGAAAATTGTTGAATTCAATCCACCACTCTGTGCTTTGTGTGCTTTTCCAATTTTACAGGCAAAAAACCTCGACTTCCAGCTCTGAGCATTCATTCTCGACGCTGTTTGCATTCTGATTAACATCCTCCACCCTGGAGGTCCTCACTGGGTCTGATTGCTTGAAAACACTTAACCTATGTTCAAGAGGCCATTTAAATTGACTACGATTACATTAAATGTTCAGCATTTGGTCCGTTTCATTTTCAGACCTGCAGCTGGGGGGTTGTAACAACAACTTTTATAGCACCACTTTCATTAATGTCCCGTTATGTAACCTCTCATCATTCTAACATCCTGTCTGATTCTGGAAGTAAAATAGTCTGTTTGTGTGGAAGGTTTCCAAATCTAGTTGTGTTGATAAGAAGACTTGCAATATGTCACATATAGTATACATTGTATGATAATATGTGAAAGATAAAGACCGTCTAGTTGAGTTTTAAAGTTATGGAGCTGCTTTTGACTGAATATGAAAATATGGCCTTTGACTTAAGTATGGAAATGACACAGTTGACTGTTTCTTCTTTGGACTGTTTTCTATTGGTAAGTTGGAGACAGCAGGACTAGAATCGCCTTCTTCCACCTTCATAATATCGCTAAAATTAGAAACATGTTATTTAAAAAGTATGCAAAAAAAAGACTGGTTTATGCATTTGTCACATCTAAATTGGACTATTGCAATGGTTTTATTATCTGGGTGCCCAAATATTTCTTTTAGAAGTCTTCAGCTGATCCAAAAGGCTGCTGCCAGAGTCTTTACTGGAGTTAGTGGGAGAGATCATATCTCTCCAGTTTTAGTTTCTCTCCACTGGCTCCTTGTCAAATCCAGAATTGAATTCAAAATCTTGCTTATGACCTACAAAGCTCTCAACAACCTAGCTCCATCTTGTGCTACAACTTTTATTGTTCAATATTTTCCTAACGGAGCACGTCACTCTCTCAGACTGCTGGTTTACTTGTGGTTCCTAGAGTTTCCAAAAGCAGAATGGGAGGAAGATCTTTCAGTTGACAGGCTCCTCTCTTGTGGAACCAACTTCCAGTTTCTGTCCATGAGGCTGACACATTGTCCAGTTTTAAAACTGGGCTCAAGTCTTTTCTTTCTGATAAATCCTATAGTTGGGGTCAGACTGGATTTCCTGACCTATCTCTCAAACCCAGCTGCTTAAAGCAGATGGCTGCTTGTCTGAGTCTGGTTCTGCTGGAGGTTTCTTCCTCATGTGGGAGTTTATCCTTCCCACTGTTGCTTTTTGTGCTAGCTCAGGATGGGAGACTGTGACAAAATGACGACTCAACACAATCTGCCGTCTTCCTGAGATGTATAACTTTACTAATTACCATTCCTGATATACAGTATGTGAATCTATTTGTTCAGGGCCCAGGGATAACCTCTGTTGTGACTTGGCGCTTAATAAATAAACTGAACTGAGTTAATGATGTGTTTCATTTTTACCCACAAAGTTTAGAGTTTGAAGATGGAAAACCAAAACTTTGAAGAACAGCTCAAAGTAGAAAATCTGACCCAGAGTAGGAGGTTTTTTCCATAAATCTCACTTCAAACTCCAACATGGCTGCCTCACTCCTACAACGCTGTGATTGCTGCAGTCATAACTTGTTTGTTTACACTCCTGTCAGTTTATATTTTAACAAATCACTTGCTGACATGACGTTCCACATATTAGTGAACATATTGCCGCAGTGTCGACAAAGCAGAGAAAATTCTCATATGTTTTCTTTTTACTTCATCGCACCTTTTGTTACTGTAGTTTTGGTCAAATCCTAAAACACTTTACTTGTTTCTGAACTTTCCTCCTCCCCTGTCCTCGCTGCGCTGTCTGTGTGAAGTCACATCTACTGACTGCATGTCAACACCCTGAAACAATAAATAAATAATAATAAATAAACAAATGAATAAACATCTATACCCCCCTGTTTATTCAACACTTAAGGTTGTGTAAAGCAAATCCATTAGGTCACCACAAGAGGGTGGCCATGCCCACATGTAAACTTCCCGGCACTTTGCTGGATAAAATGTACTTCCAACTTCCAGCCACAGACATTTGTGTTTCCAACAAAAACAAACATCCATGCCTGGAATTCTGCAGCTAAACCATCTTGCTATCTCCATCTTTTCCAGACATGGAGCTGCAGAGGCCCTCTGAGGTTCTGTTTGAGACTCCGAGTTCAAAACTCTTTTATTGAAATCTGCATCTTATACTGTTGCCTTTCTGGAGGTTTCCCTTTGCATCGTTGTGTTTTTAAGTTCAAGTTTTCGTTCTCATGATCCAAATGCCGCCCTGGGGAGTTTATGTGGAGGAACACAAAAAAATGCAGTTCAGGCCATGTGAGGGGGGGTAATATAATGAGCCGTGGGGGTGGGGTGACTTTTCTGAGGCTATATGTGTGGATGTGTACCATATGTGTTTACAATCAGCATGTTTCAGCTTACATCATGCAGTGTCAGCCAAAAAGGGCTCGTTGGTAATAATTTGCTGACAAAGGGGAAACTGCCGTTTAAACCCAAACGTGGATGGAGTTAAGAAATAAAGAAACAAACAAAAAAGGAACTACTGAGCAACTTTTTCCAGCAGCAGACTTGTAAAGTGCAACACTTACGCACAGCTGGGACCAGATCAAACGCTCGGACACCTCGCTCTGATCCTTGCTTGTTGTAAAGAGACACACACTTCCTGTTTCTCCAAACGCTCCGGATGCTTCGGTGTATTATTTTCCAACGATGTGCTCAGCGATGCCTGAGAAACATCTAACTTGTGTTTACTTGTGTGGCCCTCGTGTTTAGTTGTATGTTAAAGCCCTTGTGGAGGAAATTGCTAAAAATATAGTTTAGGTTAGTTGTTGACTTTTTCTGCGTGTTTATCTGTCTGGGTCCTGAGGGCAACTGAAGCCGGCTGCATGTCTGCCTGCTGAGCATCAGCCATCTCAAGGGTTTGTGTCAGCCACACGCTTAATAAGATACAGCATCAGGGCTTTCAGTGCAATCAACAAACATTCATTAAAAAAATTAAAAAAAAAAAAGATTTTGGTTGAAAATCAAACCTTTTTTTTTTTTTTTTGGAGTTCTCATACTTTGATCAGAAATGTAATGCAACTTAGCTCAATTAGAGGTTATGTCTGTGACTGTAAGTATGGACACATTTGCAGCTCGTGGAGCATATGTGAAGGCCACTGAGGTTGATTTAGCTTCCAGCTGGCATGAATTTACAGCTTAATAGAAATGGCTCTAGTTTTCTCCACATCAGCTTTTTAAATTGTAAAGGTCCTCCAGAAAACGGCTGCAGAAGGCAGAGACATACTGCTGCTTTGGGAGCAAGTTGTTTTTGGTGGTGTGGATGACATGATGTGTTTTATTATCATTTTTAAATATTATTATACAAGGTTCATGCTACATACAAATTTACTCAATTTTAGGGTTTTAGTCATTAGTAATTACTTACTTCTAACCTACAAAGCTCTCAACAACCTATATATTTGAGATCTTATTGTTTCATATTTTCCTAACAGAGCACTTTGCTCTCAGACTGCAGGCTTACTCGCAGTTCCTAGAGTTTTCAAAAGCAAAACGGGAGGACGATCTTTCAATTTGCAGGCTCCTCTCTTGTGGAACCAACTTCCAGTTTCCGTCCATGAGGCTGACACATTGTCCAGTTTTAAGACTGTGCTCAAGACTTTACTTTTTTGATAAATCCTATAGTTAGGGTCGGCTTGTTATGCTGCCTTAAGCTTAGACTACTGGAGGACAAACTGACCTCATTTCCTTAAATGAATTGATAAAATTGAATAGTTTTCATTTGACATTATTTCTATCTTAACATGTGATTCTCGACCTGCCATTGTGTATCTGTTCCTCTCAAACCCAGCCGGTCGAAGCAGATGTCCGCTTGTCGTGAGCCTGGTTCTGCTAAAGGTTTCTTCCTCATGAGGGAGTTTTTCTTTCCACTGTCACCTTCATGCTTGCTCAACATGAGAGTTCTGTGATGGAGTTGAACTCAAAGCCATATGCCCCTCAGATAAAGTTTGAAATTATTATTTTAATATATGAATGTTTCTGTTCCGTGCCCTGAGACGACTTCTGTTGTGACTTGGCGATATATAAATAAATTGAATTGAATTGAATTAGGTACCAAGCTCTTTTTATAAACTGAAATAAGTTGGATTTCCCTAAATCTACTTCTCAAAAGTTGTTTTCAAGAGCTTGTAATAGTGTTTTATGTATTTTACTCATATTACTATATGCATGTATAAAGATGGGCAGCATGATGACACAGTTGGTAAAGGTGTTGTCTCTCAACGAGAAGGTTGCCGGATCGAATCCCAGCCTGGGCCCTT